ATTTATAAAAGTTCCTTTTCTAGTATGCCGAATTTATGAATTAACCAATTCAAAGGAATCAAGGAATAAATATTATGATTTTTTTTATTTGTATTGTTCCTTTGTGTGGGATGTGGACCCATGTCATTCCCTAGATTCTATATTGGATTTCTTTGTTGTTTCTGTATGAAGTAAAAGTCGTCAGTCACGTTCGTAGGAATATAGCCTATAATAAGGGGAATTATAAGTGTTTCTATGGTGAATTTGTTGAAAAAAGAGTAACATTGAAAATCCACTCTAATTTGTTTATGAATTGGACGCTTATCTCCAAAGCCACTGATGCTACAAAAATTCGGCGAGGAAAAGTTACTTGTCCATTTGTTATGAACAACTTTCATACAGGTCAATTTGAAACCACCTAAAAACTTTTTGAAAACCAACTCAAAGAGCTCATGAAACGGCCGCTAAATCCGAAAATTATAAACTTATAAAAAAAAAAATTATTAGCAAACCAAGACAAGATATTTTTGCATAATAGTTTATCAATTTTATTAATTATTTTGTTGTAGTACAGTTTAAAAAACACCATAGGGGCTTAAAAACCGCAAGGGAAAAATTTCGTTAATTTTACACTCAGAAGACAGTCGCTGACAAACTCTGAAAATATTTGCCCGTATTTTTATGTTCACCTTCATACGGCGAGATACAATTTTACTGATTGAGAAGTTTAGAGGAAAATTTGTAACACTGTAATTATCGTCTTTGTTAGTTTTAGATATAAAAATTTACAAAGTGAAGCTTTAGGTAATTACCCAAAATGATCCTTATCATTTTACGTAGAATTGTGGATGATGATTTTTCTGTCGTTACCCATTGAAATGAAAACTGTTGCTCAGTTAGAGGGAAAGCTTGGGTTCGTGGTAAGCAATTTGACCTACAGTGACTTTCTCAATGTTGTTAAAATAAAATGATAATATAGGTTGTAGATTTTATTATTGATAGCAGAATTCAAATAGGGTATGGTCAAAGACATAGTGGCGCCAATTTTACTTGTTTATGAGAGTGGTAAGTAAGAAACCAAAAAGGAAAATACGATATCAAGCAAATATAGCTAAAATAAAAGTAACCACAGCATTATGGGTCTATTATGTTTATTTCAGGAATAAAAGTTAGAAATAACTATCCCACATTAAATATCATTGAAACGAAATGATCTTTCCCGAACCTTGAACCAAGTAAAGCCAATTTTAATATAAAAACAGGTGAAATTCATGTAAGTACCAATACGATGAAGTTTCGAAACATGTCGTGTACAAAATAAAAAATTTTTTTTTTTATTATTATTATTACTGCATACCATGTAGTAATTACTGAGTACCATATGGTAGTTACTCTATAAATAAAATAGTTCCTAGACAGACACTCAATAAAAACAACTTACGGTCCGAAAACCGCTTTCATGAATATATTCAAACCATATGCCGATCCAAACCATTAATTAAATACTCCAAATAAACGAAATAAAACGGAAATAACTGAAATAGAATTTAGATAGGGCTATATAAAATGGTGGATAAACTTACGGTGATCACTCCAAGAAGAAACCAAACAAATACGATCTATAATCTGGATTGCATACTTTACAGGGTTTTCAAATTTCCAAATCGGATACCCATGCAATGGAAATCGAAAAGTGGATTCAGAGTGTTTCTTTCACTGAAAATTTGTCGGACGCCAAAACACGCATCTTCCTCAGATCCAAATCCCAGAAAAAGACCTTCTTCTCAGTTTCAGAACCCTAGCTAACCTTTTCACCGCAGACAAAATGAGAGAAAAAGTGATATCATATGATCGGAATCATTAGAACAGAAAATCGCAATCCACAGCGAAATGAGATTCAGACAAGTGAAATGCAATTAAGGAAGTTTGGTATATAGCGAATAGATGGCTCTAATAAACAAGACAAGTGAACTGTAATAAATGAAGTTTGAGATCTAGCGAATAGATGCGCTAATAAAATTAAATATCGAGACAAGTGAGCTGTAACAAATGGAGTTTGGTATCTTTGGCATCTAGCAAATAGATGGCGCCAATACTAAGAAATTTAAATAAAAATAGATTTTTAAATTCAATTTTATTAAAGAAAATAAAAAATGCTACAGAATTGGTAAAAAACAGATAATTTTATTTATTTAGGCTCTTTATCCCACTGTATACCACTCTAAAAAATTTAAGGATAAATATATTTCCTTCATTCTTTGTTTCTCTCTTCACTTTTTTCTTTTCCTGTAATTTAGAATAAACTGGAAGTTTATTTAGACGCTGCTTGACGTTTAGTTACTTTGCATAATGTTATTTCGTGTCCCCCATTTCGGCTTTTTGTCCTGTCGTCCTTCATTAATACTCAAATATACTTCCCCTTGATTAGAAAACTTTTTTGTCTGAAGAAAAATTAAAAATTCATTTAACTTTTCTGTACTGTACTTAAGATTATTTATTGCTTCTTGTATCAATTACAACAAAGAGCATAATTCTTTGAACGAAATCATGAGATTAATTTATCGTATATTTTTTTTACTTTTCATCATTTGGCTAATACTATAATAGATGCATTTAAACTAAGTGAAGAGCGCCTTTTTTACGCAAGAAAGTCCTAGTTTTTTATGTCATTTGTTGAAATTACTGTATCTATAAGGATAAAAAAGTAAAAATCCTTGACTCTAATGAAAAGTACCCTTTTAGAACTTTACGGAATTTTACACTATCAAGTCATATCTTGGCAACAGAAGGCAGCTTGTGATGTCTTCTTGTAAGCCTATAGATTGTGGTGTCCCTCAGGGTTCAGTACTTGGCCCTATTTCTTTTCTGGTGTTTATCAACGACATTGAAAATCTAGACATTAGTTGTAAAATCTGCCTTTTTGCGGACGATACTAGTTTCACTTGGAGCGGCCCAGATGTTACGGCACTGTATAATACTATATCCAGTGCATGACTTACGCACAATTAAATCTTGGTGCGATTCTAATCTCCTATGCCTCAACCTATTAAAAACTAAAGTTTTGTCATATAAAAGTACTATACATCCTTTTGTACTTAATAACACCAATATTGACGTCGTGGACTCTGTAAAATTCTTAGGACTTGTTGTAGACAACTCGTTAAAATGGGACTTGCACATCGAATCTTTATCAAAAAAAAACTAAGCACTGCCTGTTTTGCGCTAAGATCAGTTTCTAAGAAACTTAATTATCAACCTCTAGAATAGCCTATTATGCCCTTTTTGAGTCAGATCTTCGTTATGCCCTTCCATTCTGGGGTACTTGCTGCGCAACAAACTTTGATCGTATTTTCAAACTTCAACAGTGGAACAGTGGAACTCACTGCCAGAATTTCTTTAAAAATTTGAAAATACTGACTCTTCCTTCTTTATTAATTTTTGAATCCGTTTGCTTAATCCGCAAGCACATATCTGCTATTCCCGAAAGGCGATCTCACAACTATCCACTTAGGAATGCGGAGCACGATCTTTATCTGCCAACTCCGAGCTCAGAACTAGTTAAAAGCTCAATATTGTACAATTCCAAAAAAATGTACAATTATCTGGCTTTGAACATCAAGTCGTCATTCTTGCACAATAAAGCGTTATTTATTACTATTATTATCAACTATATTTGGCATTAAAATGTGTGTAAGCGTACCAAATTTCAAGGAAAACGGTTTACCAATGTTTTTAAAAATAAAAAATCGGTAAAAAAACTTTTAAGTTAAACGGTTTTATCTTAAACCCTCTGAAATCCTACCTATGGCAAAGCATATCTTTATACTTTGGTAGATCATGAGCTCGGCGTTCGCTGGTGAAGCCGCCACGGCTGGTTATTGATTGTCAAGATCTCCAGTTACGATTATAGTAAGTCGATGCAATCCACACTTAGTATAGAAGAAAGTATTACAGCAATAGTTAATGGGCCCCACGTTTTTATTTTAGTCTAATATGCCTAAAAGCTATATTCTGCCTAGTACTAAAATATTTCTGAACTAGAAGTTCAAAAAATACCTAATTGTTATTATTATTTTCTAGTTTTCAGTGCACAAATTCGACTTTTCAAGTGGAGAAAGATACGTCTAAATATTTTTCGATACCGTTTGATAGAGAGTTATCCGTGGTCTAAAAGGAATTTTAAGAATGTCAATTATAAACTTGTGTATAGTGCTAATAATAAATTACAACAATTATTAGGTAATCCAAAAGATAAAACACCTCCACTGGAAAGGTCGGGTATTTATGAAATTTCTTGTAAAGATTGTAATCAGAAATATGTTGGGCAAACTAGGAGATCAATATTAACTAGATTTAAAGAACATTTAGCTCAGATAAGATATGGTAGACCGGATAAATCTTGCGTTGCCGAACATATTGTTGATAATGAACATTGTATAGATCTTAATAATTTAAAATTAATTAAACAAGTCTCAAATTACAGGCAATTAGATGCATATGAAAGCATCATAATTAATAAATGTAAAGATAGTATGAACAGAGTCAACGGTCCAATTCCTTCAAGTTCTTTGTTCCTACTACTCTAGTGGCGGAAATCTAACTGTTACGCTCAGTAGGCTCTGACTTGGTTGGCTAGATTTTGCCACGCCCACTCGGTGCCCACTGAGCGAGTATATAAACGCTCAACTTGTAGATTGTACTTTAGTTTATAATCATCTGCTGATGATGCTAACATGGTTAGCGAAACGCGCGTCCAGTGTAAAAGTAAAAGTGTTTTGGTGTATTGTGGTGATTTAGTGTTTTTATTTTGCTGTGTAACACCAAAGGTTCCAACCCTCAACTATAATAGTGTGATTTCTTGCCGGTCTCTACATTTTTTTTTAAATATTCTGTTATAAAGTTTTTCACTTAGAGCTACAATATTACATATTACGTTTGATATACTAGAGTTTTTCATTATTTTTTTGTTCTGTTCTCTTTAGATTTGTCCCACTGTGTAGCCCTTTTAATTTCGCCCTTACCTCCGGAGGGTTGGCGTCCACTTGACAAACAATCTCGGCCCTTTCCTGCTTCGCCACGCCGTAAATCCTGGTCTGGTCCGGTCTGCAGGTAGGCGCGTCTGAAATAGAAACGACAAATAACAGTAATGGCAGGAAAATAAATGGAGAAACAAATCGCTTAACTTGCCAGGCAAAAAATAAGTGATTTATTGAATTGAAATTATTTTTATTGTTGTTAAAGTATCACATTTTCCGATAACTATTATCACCCTTTCCGTAGCATTAAACTAAATAAATTTTGTGCTTTAAAGAAACTTCTTTACGCCCGATGGGTGTAAAAATTGAAGGCCGCGAGTCGGCCTTGATTGACGGCTGCAGGGCGGGATGACCTTGTCATATAACGCGAAGGTCATGCAAAGCAGGATACATTAAAATACGCAACCAACCGTCCAATCAGATGAAAGAGGTACGTACCCTATCGTTGGGTATTGTGCAATCACGTGATGCTCATGTCGTATGACGGTTAAATCTTTGGTTAGAATTTTTGTTGTTGTTTTTACCTGTTTTTACAGTTTTTACTTTATTTTTCTATTTACATCAGATTTATATTTTGTAATTGCCTATCAGACAATACGTATTTAGAAAAATAATAAGAATTAGGATCGTGTTTTTTTTTAAATCCTGTATATTAATTGGAACCCTTGATAACATTACTGCTTTTGATATAAAAAGTGCATTTTTGATTATTTACTTGGGCTAGGATATTAAAATATCGGTTGGATTGTACGACATAAATAGATGTAGGTATGATTATTTATATATATGTATGTATTTATAAAGCTTACTATCTGATTTGCATTTTCAGTTTTTGATCAGATATTTCATTTTATTTGTGAAATGCCCACAAAAAAGCTTCCAATGATTCAACATCAGTGTGTTTGCTGCATAATGGATCATTCCTGCTGAATTTTTAGATCATTTGAAGACTACACGGAAAAAACCAGATAATATGTTACATTTTCATAGAAATTGATAGCTAGACAATTTTATAGGCAAGTGCATTATTCGAGGCACCATCAAAGAAAGCAATAATAATATGCTTAGTCCCAGAGATATTACAGCTTAGTTATTTTGCCCTACAGGAGAAAAACCAGAGTAGTTCACTCGTAATTGCATTTTCTCGGCTCCAGTTAAAATGAACAAAGCTGGTTTTTCCTGTGGTCTTCATTTGAAATAACGTAAATAAATGTTTATACATATGTATGTGATGATTAAATTGGTGTTAAGGAAATAAAAATGTTTTCGATATTAATATATACCTATATATGTATATTTATTTTGAAATAAATTACACTTTTAACAGTTTAATGGAGTTTTTAAAGCCAGTTATAATATTTATATTTTAAAAACTTGAAATCATGTGGATGTAATCACGCATTAAACCACAGACTAACTTATATAAGTCAAAAAGTAGATTTTAGTGTTAACTTTATATAACTTGTAAGTAAAATAATAAATAAAACAAATATGAAAAAACCAACAATTCTAATGTATATATTAAAATACAGTACAATAATAGGTATCTGATACCCTCACTTAACGTAGAATAATATTCTACCCAACTCAATACTATGTCCAACATGAGTTTCAAATATATCGGGCCCTAATCGTTCCTGAAAATAATATTTTTTTACATTGTTATACCATATTCTAAACTATTTAATATTTCAGTCACTTAAAAAGTTAATTTGTATTGAATAATTGTCTACCATTAAAGCAAATTTGGACTAGTATTTTTAATGGGCATATTCTGTGTATGGATATAGGTACTTCCTCCAGATTTTGGGTTCAACCAATTTATTCTTAAAACCTGAAACATCTACGTATAAAAAATAGACAGGTTACTAATTATAATAAAATTTACCCTTAGAATTATACTTCTTTAACAAATAATTTCCATTGGTATACTTTTCCATGACAAGTAATCAACTTCCTAACATTTTTTAATTGATGTAATACTTCCTCATGATGCGAAAAGAAAATCTTTTCTTTAGCACACAAAGGACAAACGATATGTTGGCTTACTTTCAGATTAGTTACTTTTCCATAGATATCCTCATGTCAATTCAAAGACGATGAACATGAAAATGATCATCAATGAAACATCACAAACTAAAACCCAATAAACAAGTTTATATCGAATATAGAAATAAATTTAGTGTTATTACCTATTGTCGTCCAAGTCCACGTTAATAGATAATTCATTTTTAGATTTTTATCTTTTTATTTTTAAATATATCTTTCGAACTACTGGTTTTAGTAATTATTAAATTAAACGAACTAAAAAGTCAAAAATATTAAACAATTAATTCTCTTGTCAATTGTCAATTTTCTCCAGGCACCGAACATTATCGATAACGCACGATCTACGACGATTACTCCTTTGATCTGATTGGACGGTTCAATGACGGTTGGTTGCGTATTTTAATGTATCCTATGCAAAGCATCAAATCAAAGAAGTAATCGTTGACAGGAGATATGCCTTATTTTGATTATTTTATATAGTTATGGCACATATTATGGTTGAGAATTGTTTTTTAGTTCACTTCATTTAATAATTATTAAAACCAGCAGTTCCAAAAATCTATTTAAAAATAAAAGATAAAAATCCAAAATATTTACTGTCTATTAACATGGATTTGAACGATAATAGGTAAGAACACTAAATTGATTCGAATAAGTAGTGTTGCCATCTTAATTTCTATGAAAATGTGACATCTGGTTTTTCTCATGTAGTCTTCAGATGGTCTAAAAGTCAGCAGGAATGACCCATTATGCAGTAAAGACACTATTGTTGAATCAATGGTAGGTCTTTTGTGCGCATTTCTCAAATAAATTCAATTGTCTCATCAACAACTGAAAATGCAAAACAGATAGTAAGCTTTATAAATATCTATACAAATAACCATACTTAAGTCTATTTATGCCCTACATTCCAACCATATTTTAACCAATATTTTATCCTATAAAAATGCACTTTTTATATCAAGAATAGTAATGGGTATACCCTTTTTCTAAGGATTTCAATAAATCTTTAATATCTAGGATTCAAAAAAACACGATTCTTGATTTGAGGTTAGGTCATTCATTTAATGATGAATGGTAATGAATTTCATTACCAACATGACGTTAGCCACGGGCCACTGGTCATTCTGTCACCGAACTAGAAAGGAGCTTTCTTTTAATAATCGATAACATATTTTTCTAACAGAGAAAAATGCAATTACGCGTGGGCTACTCTCGTTTTTCCCCTGTATGGCAAAATAACTACCCAAGTAGCATTTTCACGACTTCTGACCACATGTTTACTAAACACAACGTTGGATTAGTTACAAAAAATAGTTAGCTCCGTACCTTGGGTATTTTAAAATAAATGTAAACGTTGTTCTAACGTTGTGCCGACGTTGAACTAGTACTACAACAAAGTAAAAGCTTCTGCGACGTCGAATAAACGTTGTCTTGTACCCTTTTTTGCTTAAGTGATCTTTAGGTGATTCGGATAACGTAGTTACAATGTTAGGTAATAAAGAGTTTTCCGGACGTCACTTTCAGGACCTATTCCAATGTTATGCAAACTTCGTCTGTTTTACTAATTCCAACGTTGTTTAGATTTCCTTATTCTTACGTTGATAGGACGTCGAGACACTACCTTTTTGCAACTGTATTGAACCATAACCTTAAATCTTAAATTTTCACTTCATTGTTCTGTTCAGTCAGACAGTTCGGTGCTGTTTTTGTTTTTATACAAAAAACTTAATTAAAATTGGACATAAGAAAGGTACATATAAAACTAAATTTAAATATACATCGACATATATTACCGATAGTTTATTCACTCCCTCGTTTATTTAGATTATAGAGGGCGGCGCAAGCTAGACTCTAGGATGACTAAATTAGGCAATCTTGCGACTAGTATACTACCTGTTAATGCTGAACTGCGACTTTATTAGTCCAGTATGCGACTACTCGAACTACTCCATCTTAATCTCCAAAACAATAAAGTGAAAGCCGCCATGTTGTTGAATAAGAAAACGTTTCGTTCCTAAAATAGCAATTTCTGTTTTTTGAATACATTAACCTTAAATATTGACCCTAAACAACACGCCGAAACAATTTTTTCGACTGCGAATAAATTATTCTCATTTTAGTAAAAAAAAATTCAAGTAATTTTTTAAAACTTCTTTAATTTTAACGTCCATTAGTATTTTTCAAAGTAGAAACAATACATTTATCAATAAAGTTGTTTGCGTTTAACTTTTTTGCCTTGGGTAACGAGTTACAGAGTCGGTTAAAGTGTTTCAATAATTATGATCTTCAAACATCCTCCACACTTAAATACTTTTGTTTGGTTTTCCTTTACTGCCATCTGGCATATGTCTCTAACTAAATCATAAAAATAATATTTTTACTATAATTATCCCAATTTAGGACAAAACGCGACTTAGACGCCATATTATTATAGTTTTGTATTTCTGTGAATTAGGATTTTAAACAACGTTGCAGTTTGTACTAAATTAGGCTGCTAGCCAACGTCGGCGTCGTTTCGACCCAAAAATTATTCTCCAAACTGGTGCAGACTAGGGTTGGCACGAAGTTGTGCCGACGTTGCGTCCCGACGTTTGGTCGCGTGACACAACGTTGTCCCGACGTCCAAATGCTGCTTGGTTAAGCTGTAACATCTCTGGGACTAAGCGTATATTGCTTTCTTTGATGGTGCCTCGAATAACGCTAACATCTTCCTATAAAGTTGTGTCACTATCTTAATTTCTATGAAATGTTTAATAAAAAATTAAAAAAAAAAAACATAAAAATATAAAGCTAGAATCTAGAATAGCAAACGGTTTTATATTAACTCTAATTTTTTTTAAGTTTATAAAAAGCATTCATAAAAAATATATATGCTTCAAATCTTTGAATTTAATAGTTGTTAGTAAGAAAATTTACTTCAAATATGCGCACATAGTGCACACAATTTTTTTAAAATTTCGCCCATTATTTTTTGCACAAAATAAACAAAACCGAAAGAACTATAAAACGACGGACGGTGTAACGAGCATTCCATTTACCAGAATTACGAATTTATATATTCAAAAAAGCGACAGAAATACACGAAGACCTTCTAAAAGAAAGAACGTAATTTTCTTTTAAAACGTCTCCTGACTTTCCTCCAAAACAACTTCTTCCTCGCGTATACTTAAAACGCATAACTTTTTTTGCCTGTCTCTTTCTTTTCCTTAGTATTCTTCTGAATATTTTTGTTTCCATTTTATTCTATATTTGTTCGGGCAAAGTCGAGCTTAAAATTACAAAGCGCGTTATCTACACGTAAAACGTAGAAATTTATGAGAGCGCGGGAGAGACTTGGTTTTTATGTCTTTTTCGTTTATTCTTTGCCCGTTTGTGTGTTTAAATCGAGTTTGAGACTGTACGATGAATTCGAATGGATTCTACGTTTGACTCCGTGACCTCGTATACTTACTTACTCGACAGATGGCGACTTTAATTTTCAATTCAAAGAGAGGCTAAAAAGTCAAATAATTTAGCTATACTCTGTTTTTTTTCTCAGGTAAGATTTCGACAGACGATGACAGAAGAAAAGCAGATGACGTCCCATACCAATCTATTTATTTTACTACAAAAAGTTTCTAATAATTTTTAAGTTATCTATGGATGGGTTTAAATATAAATCCGTCATGCGTCGTGTCTTGTTGTTTTTAACCAGTTTTATTGGTTTATTTAAAAATGACAGATCGTATTTCAATTTTATTGGTTTGACGGAACGATGAACGACAAACGGACGCCGATGCGTATGAACTCGCCTTTAGATTTTTGTCATTTTTGACGCTTGTCAAAGTCTTGCCAAATTATAGATTATAATTTTGTGTCAACTTTGTTAAATACCCTGCGTTTTGGAAGATGATGCATTTTGATTCGTATTATTACGTGTGTTTTGTGTCTTTTCAAGTCAAGTGGAGGAAAAATCAGTGAAAATTAACTGTAGACCCAGAGCACAGTTTATGGTTAATACTCGCTGCCCAGGCAGAAAGTCTTATACACCATTATACACCAATGAAGTTGCCATCGATAAAGTTTCTATACCATTTCGTCGTAGATAAGTGCATCTCGTATATGGTAGAAGGATCAAACTAAACACATACTAAAAACTGGAGTAGCTGTAAAATATCGACATCACACGATAGGTAAATAATGGATTTTAGTACTGCAGAAAAATAATGTCAAAAAGGTACTGGTTTAAAAAATTAAGATTAAAGTTAATTAATCAACCTTTAAGGTATAAAATTTGGTAGGTGTTATTATTAATAAAATAGTTTGTTTTATTTACCTATGTTGTTTTATTTATTCCTGTGGAATATTACAAATTTGTATTTGTACATAAGTTATATTGATAAATATAATCATAAATGCGGGTAGTTTCATAAAGCTTGAAAGTAAATAATAGTTCTTTTTATATATTTTTTGGTATGTAGTGTCTTGTTCTTGTTTGTTTTGTATTAACACATACCGTTTTTATTAAATAAAATAACTGGATTACATTTTTTCAGTTTTATACAGTTTTCTTCACAATATTTTGAAGTAATCACTTGTCATCTTGTCAATCAAATTTTAAATATATCCTGCTATGCGTTACAGTTGTACCAACTTATTTCTTTGTAAAATAAAATAAACTACTTTGAAATTAAAATGACAGACACATCTATCACTGTCAAGGATCTTCTCGTTGGACAGACTATACAAATTGCTTAAAAAATAACCAAAATCGGACTACTACAACAAAATATACTGAACTTGAAATAAGTACAGGGTGAGTCAACGATAGAGTAAAGTCTACGATAGAGTAATCTTATTTGCTTCGAGGTTTACAAAAAAATGTTAAATACAAAAGTTATAGGGAAGGTTAAGATACACGTTTAAAAATTATTATAGAGTATACAGGGTGCTTCAAAAATGTGTGGCGGATATAACATAAGGTTTTTTTTAAATACAACACCCTATTTTTTATTTTATTTTTAGATTCTGCGTAAAACTCTATAACTTTTTTATATATAATGTTATATACCTAAAATTGATAGTTTTCGTAATATTTAAATTTGTTTATACAAATGATAAATTGCAGTGTGGTAAAAAATTGTCAGTGGTACCATTGTTTCTGAAGTTGGAATACCAATATTTGGTATGAGAGTTCTATAGAGATTAAAAAGAAGATATATGTAAAGATATTTTAGTTAAATGTTACAGAGTGTTCAAAATATATTAATAAATTTCGACTGCTTAAAATTAAAAAAATCTAACCTTTAGGTTAAAATTAACTATCTTTACTCAAATAAACTAAAATCATAGTCGTGGATTTCTTGGTGTATTTCTATATTATGAAAGATGACATTTGGATTTTCCGTCGGGTCGAATAGCCAGAGATTAGGGTAATACTAACTAGATTACCTAATTGTTGACGACTACTGATATTGAAATTTTGTTCGACATACAGAAAAGTTTTTTTTCTCGTAGTAATTCTGGTTTATAATTCACTTCGTAAAGCCAATATTACTACTGCCACAAAACCGTCCCATTACACTGTAGCATTTTTTATTTCCTTTAATAAAATTGAATTTAAAAATCTATTTTTATTTAAATTTCTTAGTATTGGCGCCATCAATTTGCTAGATGCCAAAGATACCAAACTCCATTTGTTACAGCTCACTTGTTTCGATATTTAATTTTTATTAGCGCATCTATTCGCTAGATGTCAAACTTCATTTCTTACAGTTTACTTGTCTTGTTTATTAGCGCCATCTATTCGCTATATGCAAAACTTCCTTAATTGCATTTCACTTGTCTGAATCTCACTTCGCTGTGGATTGCGATTTTCTGTTCTAATGATTTCGATCATATGATATCACTTTTTTATCTCTCTTTTTCTTTTTTTCTGGGAATTTGGATCTGAAGAAGACGCGTGTTTCGGCGTCCGACAAATTTTCCAGTGAAAAGCACTCTGCATCCACTTTTCGATTTCGATTGCATGGGTATCCGATTTGGAGATTTGAAAACTTTGTAAAGTATGCAATCCGGAGTATAGATCGTATTTTTTTGGATTCTTCCTGGAATGATCACCGTAAGTTTATCCGCCATTTTATATAGCCCTATCTAACTAAATTCTATTTCAGTTATTTCCGTTTGTTATTTCGTTTATTTGAGTATTTAATTACTGGTTTGGATCGGCATATGGTTTGAATATATTTATGCAAAGCTGATTTTCAGACCATAAGTTGTTTCTTTTATTGAGTATCTGTCCTGAGAACTATTTTTTATTTATAGAGTAACTACCACATGGTACTCAGTAACTATCACATGGTACTCAGTAACTACAACATGGTACTCAGTAATTACCACATGGTATGCAGTAATAATGCCGTAATTATTGTATGTTTCACCCACTTTCATTTTGTATGGACCTATGCAGACCTTAAGACAGTGTTCCTGACATTACAATCGTTCTTTTGGCTGATACCGAAGACTTCTCCTGCCATAGTCATCTGCATCCACTTCTGTTAGTCTGGAGAATACCTACCTACCTGTTTACATCATATGAAACTATATTCAGATAAGTCTTAAGTTTGATACACAAGGTACGCTTTTATTTTATAATTTTTGAGACAACAGATTTAATAACCTGGTAAATTATCACTATTTATCCCACATATTGTAGTCAAAATTATTTTTTATTTAACGTTATAAGTTATAATTTGATTCGTACAGTACACTCTTACGTAGCTATGATATTTTATATGAAAATTATTAACACATATTCATTTTAAAGGTTTTTGTACACGACATGTTTCGAAACATCATCGTATTGAGACATACATACATTCCACCTGTTTTTATATTAAGTAGCTTACTTAGTTCAAAGAATACAGTTACTAAATTCGAATCTATCTAAAATAACTTGCGGTTTTTTTGGGATCACTGTGACTAATTGATGATACTTGTGTTCGTTTTCAATAAATGTTTAATGTAGGATAGTTATTTCTGACTTTTATTCCTGATAAACATAATAGTCCCTTAATGCTGTTGATTACTTTATTTTAGCTATGTTGTGATATCGTATTTTTCTTTTTGGTTTCTTACTTTACCACTCTCATAAACAAAGTAAGTGGCGCCCTTTTCACTGTCTTTGACCATACCTATTTGAATTCTTAACATCAATATTAAAATCTCTGCAGCCTATGTATTATCATTTTTTTTATTTTAATATTTAACAACATTAGAAAGTCACTGTGAGTCAGAAGCCTTACCTACGAACCCAGCTTTCCTCTAACCCTGAGCAACGGATTCTTTTTTCATTCTATTTGGGTAACGACAGAAAAGTTGTCACAACACACTGAAAATTAAGCAGTTGAAATATATTAATATATTTTGAACACTCTGTAACATTTAACTAAAATATCTTAACATATATCTTCTTTTTAATCTCTATAGAACTCTCATACCAAATTTTGGTATTCCAACTTTAGAATCCACACTGCAATTTAACATTTATATAAACAAATTTAAATATAACTAAAACTATTAATTTTAGGTATATAACATTATATATAAAAAAGTTATAGAGTTTTACGCAGAATCTAAAAATAAAATAAAAAATAGGGTGTTGCATTTAAAAAAACATATGTTATATCCGCCACACTTTTTTGAAGCACCCTGTATACTCTATAATCATTTTAAAATGTGTATCTATCCTATATCTAATAATATATATATATCTAATAATTTCAAGCTCAACTTAAGTCGAAGTAAAAGAAAATTCAAATTAAGGAAAAGCAAAAAAAAAATAAAAACATCAGTTATGTCTTTTAGTAGGGCCAAAAAGTTGTTGTTAAAAGAAACTCTGGAGACTCTTTAAAAGAAAGTTACATGCTTTATTTTAAAGGGTTTTCTCGTTGTCTCTCATCGCTGGCAGGAGCTTTTTGAATATATAAATTCGTAATTCCGGGTAAATGGAACGCTTGTTACAAACCGCTTTATTTTTATATCGGTTTTGTTTTTGAATTGAAAAAAATGCAGAATTTTAAAAAATAAAAAGAAGCTGAATATAAAAACGACTTTAGAAGGATTGATCCCTTATTTTATGAATGAAGGATTATATTATTATTTACTTTTTTGCATATGCTTGGTTAAAAATAAAGACGTTATTTATATTTATACAGGGTGCGTCTTAAATAAGTGCAAATATTTTAGGGGTAGTATATTTCGATCCCAGAAACAGATCGTGAGTTTTTTTCCGCGAATTTTTTTTTAAAAATTTGGAATTTTTTGGATTTTTTTTTTACTTTTTAGTCAAAAAATATAATTTGTTGATAATATGGCAATATGTTTCTTTTATTGAGATCTACCAGCCCTGAAAATATTTACACTTATTTAAGACTCGCCCTGTATAGTTTGAGAAAAACGCAAGATACTTACACATAACGTTCAAATAGAAAGCGTTGCTTTCACCATCTCCTTCTGTGTTGTAACCCACACACGTGTAGTTGCCTGCAGTTGCTCTAGACACTCCTTGAAGAACTAAACTCTGGTTGCTGATAATTATCCCAGAATTGACGTTGATTTGAAGATGTCTACCCTGTAACAATACATTTTTATTTTAAAAATAGAAAAATATCAATTGAATTCAAAAAAAAAATTATGTATGCGTTATGCGATAAAAACTTATCGAATGCTGTTGTATCTTTTGCGCTGGTTATGGTACCAATTAAACTTCTCTTCTAGTGGACTGTATTATTTATTTGGGTATTACAAACTAACACTATTTACACTGATTTTATAAATATAACGTAATTCGTCACCGTGTGCTTTTATCGTCTACCAAGAATGACTTATGTCAATGTACCAGTGGTGTACTCAAATAAATTATTAAATGTGATCAGTGGCGTGACAGATAAACATAATACAAAATCCAACATACCGCCCGCCTTGAACTATCTTAGATAGTTAAACAAAAAGAGGAAAACAATGAACATTAAGTTAAACAATGAACATTAAGAAAAACATGATTTAAAACATATATGGTGTGATAATAAGCACGAAATAAACATTCAGATTAATATAATGTCATTATGCGGTCACAGCTCTCTTCCATCCTCTTCCACTGGTAGGACACACACTTTTGTCACTGATCTCTTCACCTCACCAGACGATGTGCGCACCGTCACAACGCGCACAACACCATCAGACCCTGGATGAAGCAATGCTATTCTCCCCAACCTCCATCTGAGAGGGGGAAGGTTGTCCTCTTTCAGTAGAACCAGAGATCCAATGCTCAGTTGATGATTTTGGTTGATTCTCCACTTGCCCCGTTCTTGGAGTGTGGAAATATATTCATTTGACCATCTGGTCCAGAAATGTTGGAGCACCTGGGCAAACTGCTGATACTTTGATAATCTATTTGTTGGTGTGTCCCGTAAGTCACTCTCGGGTAGGGAAGAAGGGGGAACCAATTAGGAAGTGTCCAGGAGTCAGTGCGGAAAAATCGCAAGGATCATTTGACAAAGGATGAATAGGTCGTGAGTTCATACATGCTTCTATCTGACAAGTGATTGTAGAAAAATCTTCGAACGTTAAATTTAAATTACCTAGAACTCGTTTGATATGATATTTAGCAGTGCGGACTGCAGCTTCCCACAACCCACCAAAGTGAGGCGATCGTGCAGGAATAAAATGCCACTGTACAAATTCAGAAGTTAAGTAATCTGTATATGAGGTATGAACAGGTCTTGATTTAATAAAGTTAAAAAATTCTTGTAAGTTATTTTGAGCACCGACGAAATTTGTGCCGTTGTCGCTATAGATATTGGTAGGTTTTCCACGTCTGGATATAAAACGCTTTAAACAGTTTAAAAAACATTCGCTGCTGAGGTCACTTACCAATTCTAAATGACAAGCTTTTGTTGAAAAACATATAAATATGCATAAGTAACCCTTGACTGTTCGATTACCGCGGTATTTATGTAGTTTTATGTTAAATGGACCCGCATAATCCACTCCACAATTCTGAAAAGGTCTTGATGGCGTAACTCGGTGTATAGGCAAGTTACCCATTATAGGTGTTACATTGTTGGCCTTTTGTTTAAAACAAACAATACATGTTCTTAGTATGCCTTTAATAGTGTTTTTTGCTGATAAAGGCCAATACCTCGTTCTGATAGTAGCTAATAGGGTTTGAGTTCCTGCATGAAGCATTTTATAATGTTCATGTCTGATAATAAGCTTAGTAAAATGATGTTTACCCGGAAGGATTATCGGATGTCTTTGTTCATAGATAATATCTTTGGCATGTTTTAATCTTCCTCCTACTCGGATAATATTGTTGTTATCTAAGAATGGGTTTAAGCTTAGTAGTTTGCTTTGTTTGGGAATACATCTGCCATTCTGTAATGCATGTAGTTCTGCTGCAAAACATTCTTGCTGCACAAGTTTTAATAAGAACCATAAACTATTCTGTAGCTCAGCAACAGTTAGTTCTCCGGTTTGCTTGATAGTTGTTTTTGATATATTATGTTTAAATCGGAAAATGTATGCTGTGACTCTTTGGAGTTTCATAAGTGATGAAAATCTTGTTAATAAAGTGGTGTCTAACTGCTTGCTAAAACATACTATTGATGACTTTTTCTTGTCAGGAATTTCTTCTGTGGCGAGTTGAGTGTGTGTTGAAGGCCATGTATCGAAATTCTCTCTCAACCACTTTGGTCCATACCACCATAGTTCTGACTGACTCAGTTCGTACGGTGTTGCACCACGGGATATAATATCTGCTGGGTTACACTCTGTTGACACATGATTCCATACACCTTTAGTATTTTCTGTGATTTCTTGTATTTCTCTAATACGGTTTGCTACAAACACTTGCAAGTTACAAGGTTCCAATTCTAACCAAGCTAAAACTATCGATGAATCTGTCCAGTAGTAGATTTTATCAATATGCACCGATAAACAACTTAAAACAGACTGCATTAATCTTGATAATATTAATGCATCACAAAGTTCAAGCCTAGGTATTGTTTGCGTTTTTATTGGTGCTACTTTTGATTTTGCTGAAATAAGATTAATGGTATGTTGACCTGTTTGATTGGTTGACCGAATATAAATTGTTGCTCCGTATATTTTTTCACTAGCATCGCTGAACCCATGTAGCTCAATCTTAACTGGATTGCTGCAAATTGTTTGTCTGTGAATTTTGATATTAGTGATTTCGCATAGTTGTGTGCTATAGTGAGACCATTCTTGATTCAGTGTTGCAGGAATTTCATCATCCCATGATAAGGATAATAACCACAGTTGCTGTAAAAAACTCTTTGCTCTTGCTGTAACTGGTCCTATCAATCCCATAGGGTCATAAATTTTCGATACCATTGATAGAATAGTTCGCTTAGTGATCCGATTGTTCGTATTTGTTTGATTGAATGAATATTGTAAGGTATCTGAGGTGGCATCCCAGATTATACCTAAAGTTTTCTGAATTTTATCAGAGATTGTTTTCTCACCTGTGTCATGTTCTTCAATAAGTGAGGAATGATTTGATTTCCACTTTGACAATGTGAATCCACCTGATTGTAAAATTTGTTCAAGTTCTTGTTTTGTCTGAGACAATTCCAGTAGGCTGTTTGATCCTGTAAGAACATCGTCGACATAAAAATCATTTTTAATGATATTACTGGCAGTTGGGTATTTAACTTCGTTTTCAATCCCAAGTTGGTGTAGTGATCGCACTGCCAGAAAAGGTGCAGAACCTGTTCCATATGTTACAGTATTGAGTTTATATGTTTGTATCTGATCTGACTTATTGTATCTCCACACAATGCACTGAAATTTTCTATGTTCTGGTTTGACATATACTTGTCTGTACATCTTGACTATGTCTGCAGTTAATACAAATTTATACTGTCGAAATCGTAAAACAATATCAAATAAATCTCTTTGGACTTTAGGTCCTACCATGAGAATATCATTGAGAGAAATACCATTAGATGTTTTTGCCGATCCGTCAAATACTATTCTAAACTTATTGGTGTCTTTCTGTACAGCATGATGTGGAATAAAATTTAAGTTTTCATCATCTTCTTGGTCGATTAAGGACATGTGGCCTAAATCCTCATATTCTTTCATGAAATTATGATATTGCTCTTGAAATTCAGAGTTTGTCTTAAATCGTCCCTCAATTTGACTAAATCTCTTTAGTGCTATCTCTTTTGATTCACCTAGATCATGTTTTTTATGATTAAAAGGTAACTCTACAATAAAATGTCCTTTACAATTTCTTTCTGTGGTTTCAGAGAACAAATCTTCACAATACTGCTCTTCCTTTGTGTATGATGTGGTTCTTTCGGGATAATTTTCGATTTCCCAAAATTTCTGTAGTTGTGATTGAATTTCTTTGTTGATATCATTAGTTGCTAGATTACATATGATCTTATTTCCTTGCCTCTCTGGTATGGATCCTGCAACTATCCATCCTAGCTTCGTTTTCTGCCAGATAGGTGAGTTTGGTTTAGAATTAATCCTGCCTTCACAAAGAAGTTCATAAAATACTTCAGCGCCTAATAATAAATCAACTGTACTGGCTATGTTAAAGTTTTCATCTGCTAGTTGTATGTTGTTCGGAATTTCAAATCTAGATTTGCTAAAACTAACTGATGGAATATAATTTGTTATATTGTCTAAAACTAAAAATGATTGTTTAACAGAAAAATTATTGAATCGTGATTGTATAATTGCTGATACTCTATTTGTTATAAATGTGCTAATTTGGTTAATTCCAGAGACTGGTACGTTCACAGGTGTTCTCTGTAACTGTAGTTTATCTGCAAGTGATGAAGAAATAAAACATGATTGCGATCCTGAATCGAGTAACGCTCTGGCTTTATGATATTTACCAGCTGAATCCATGATGTCTACAATAGCAGTAGATAACAGAACCTCCCTGTCTCCATTGTTTTCATAACCTGATATGGTTATCTGATTTTGTTGACTGGTATAACTTTCAATTCCTCTAGATGATCCTGATCTATTTTGAGTGTTGTGTTGGGAATTTGACCTGTTGGTATGATGATTGTGATCTGAACGATTGTTCGATGAACTACCTGATTGCAGTTGACGTTCAATATGTAACAGTGTGTTATGACGCCTTCCGCACTTTTTGCACGTTCCTGCTCTGCAATTTTCAAGACTATGATTCGATCTTAGACAGTTTAAACACAGATGTAGTGCCTTTATGTCGTTGATACGCGTGGACACAGGCTTTGATAAAAATGACTCACAGTTGTTAATAGTATGATTGCCTTTACAAAAAGTACATATGAGTTGATTGATGTTTGCCACCATTGCATGTCCTCCTGACTTTGTTGAAATGCGTGGCTTGTTGCCTTGTTTTGTGTCTATTTTGTCTAGCTTGCTCTCTAGCGTCTCTAATAGCTGACATCTATCTGAAAGAAAGCTCAAAAAATCATTCATATCAGGTAAATCTGTCTTTATGGTAAGACTATGCGATTCCCATTCGCGTTTTGTCGTTGCGTCTAGCTTAGCTGAAATTAAATGTATTAACAATGTACCCCATTGATCTGTCGGTTG